ACGAAGCCTTTGGAATTTGAATGCATTATTTAAAATAAATGTCTAATTGTAGAAAACTAGCTTTATTTCTACTATAGTACCATTTGGTCCCCAGAGATGGTTCTGATTTATAGTATTTGCTTGGCAGATACAAAGAGGTGCTGCGTATTTTCTATTTATTACTCATAAATATTGAGATTAGCTTTCAAAGATAATGGACTGGATTACAGGCTGCTTTCTCTTCAGGGCTGCATCTGCAGCTTTCTGCAGAAGGAAGAGCACATGGATGCAGTGACAATCCTCTTCTCCTTGCAGTGTTTCCTAAGCATTAATTTGGCATACATAGGCACAGTTTAGGGTCTGCTATAATATAATATAAGGTAATACCTGAGCCTATGTCAGCTAGGCCATCTCCTCCCCGTTGAAACTGCGGGTCTGATCGGGGAGAGTAGTGAGAGGCAGCAGTGCTGAGGAGATAAGGGGAGGGTACACTGCTTGCTACTAGGATACATTCCTGGTAATTAGAGCGACTATAAGCTAAGCATACTGATATAAATACACAGGGAAAGAAGCCACGTTAGCTTTCAAAGATTTTTAGAAGGAATAAACCATATTGAAATTAATCTTGAAAAGATGTGTTAAGGTTTAGACTTATTATCAGCTACTAAGAGATAACTTTTTGATACAAGGCAATTATTTCACCAATAATACCTAAAGCCATTGAAGTTCTTGGGGCAAAAAAAAGGCATTTAAGCTGAAAGGCTTGGGTAGCTAAACACCCATAACAACAGTCTGTCCAGGTGCCAGCCCCAGCCTCTTCTGAAGGTTCAGTGGGAAAATGCTTTTCAACATATTCAGGTAATTTATTTCAACAATTGGCCTGGTCAAACCAGGGAAAGCTGCTGGAAGTTGAAATGCAAGCTTTTATTTCATGTTAGGAGCAAAAATGAATACAAATGGAGGGTATGACTAAATACATGGAAATCTATAGAACTGCCTGCATAAATATGTATTAACATTGGTAAACTTGCTATGTAATAAAAAGAAGCACCATATTTATTGCACAGACCACATTCAGCTGCTAGTCAGATGTGCTAAGGGTTAAACAATCTTTTTTTCTTCAGAAAATAAGTAAAAAATACAAATAAAATACAAGATTAAAATTAATTTAGATAAAAGTTTTTTACTCATTTAAATCCATATCTGAAGTCACTACCACTGTTATTTAAATGAATATCTCATAGAGGAGCTGCAGATAATTCCTGCCCTCTTTCTGCAGAAGAAGGGATTGTAAATCTGAATAAAATATCATAATTCATAGATGACCCTTGTGAACTGAGCAGCATTGCTGAGCTGCACTGTATCCTTAACATGGAATTAGTCAGACTATGTCTCCATGGCCTGTTTGGAGAGTTTAAACTGCAAACTGGTTTTGAAGTATTTCAATTTTTTTCAAATAATCTAAATGCAATTAAAAAAAACCTGACACAATGGTGTTGATTTGCAACAAGACTGCTTCCAAGTTCCTTAGCCATTTTGGCTGGAGGATACCTATAAAGTGAGGCAACACAAGTTTCCCAAATTCAGACAAATGCAAATAATCTCTTTACAGCTTACATTCCTACGTATCACCTGCCACATGTCAGATTAATTAAAAATGCATTTGAATATAATTCAAAGAATTTAAATGCAATTTTAAAACATGCACAAAAGTTTGCCAGAGGCCCTTGCTCACCAGAAGTAATAATTTCCACTTGTTGTGGTGACTTGATGAGCTGAGGCTGAGCATTTTCAGTGTTTGAGCCAAGGTTTGCTTTAGTCACAGCCTGACATTGCAATTAGGTTTAGGACTTGGGAGTTTATTGCTCAGATGGGTGATCTGGTTTTGTTACAAGGAGTTTAATGAATTTGATGATTAGTCTGCTGTCTTTTATTGTATGTTTCCAAAGTAATTTGTGCTTGGCTTTTGACTGCTAATAAAATTTATGGAAAAGTTCAAAATGCAAGAGAAAAAGGCTTTTTTTTTTCCCACAACTGTTTTAACTATTAAATAGGATATATATACTGACTAGCATGACTAAGGTTTCACCAGAAGAAGCCCTGTAGAAATGCTAGGAAAGGTAGTACTCTTAATATACTTTGATCAATCTCTTGCTTTTGATAAGTACTTTTGTAACTGTGCTCTCTGTCTGCACAACATAAATATACATGTTAAAAATCAAGTATGTTTTTAAGTCCAGCTGACCAGAATTACGGATTTAATAAATTTCTAAATAGAAGTCCAAAAGACCACTGAGCCACAGCGACTTGTTCTTTGTACTGGCACTAAAGATAACATAAATGCTAAAGCTTTCCATGTCATTGAGATGCAAAGGTGTAGCAGATATGCACTAGGCAAAGGTGTAGCAGATCTGCACTAGCAGCAGTAATACTTAAGATGTGGAGGAAGGCAGCCAGAAGGAAACTGCAAGGTCACCCGCCGCTGTGCAGTGAATGCTTGGCAGGGCTATGCCAGATCTTCTGCAGGAGCCAGGGCCTGCTCCTCCTTTCTGCAAGACATTAAAACTCCACAGAGAGGCATAAAGGCTGGAGGCATGAGAAAGCAGAGCCCTTTCCAAATGTCTGTCTTCTGCTTTTCCAGCATCTTCTCCAAAATAGGAGAAAATAACAAACCCACATATTCTGAACTCAAAAACCAGATACTTTTTGCCTATTTTTGACAAACTTCTAAGCTTTTTTTTTTCCCCCGTCTGTGACAACTACATAATTTTCACCTCTTGCTAATGGCTTTCTCCTGGTGACAGTAAGTGCTGTTGAATATATAGGTAACATTCATTTTGAGATCACATTTGATTGTTAACATTTTCCCACCAGCACTGCAATGCAAGACTTTCAGTTCTGCAAAACGAAAAGCCATTTCTAGAGAAATCTAGAGAAAATAACAAAACTAGTGGGGAAAGCATTTGCTAATCGAGACAAAATTCTGTCACCCTCATTACCACTTAGCAGTGCTGTACTTTGAGAGTAGGTATTATTTAGTGTGAATAATGACAATAGAATCTCAGCTTGATTTCAAAAGTTATTTCTGCATAATTTATTCAAAAGATAAATTCCCTAATGAAAGATACTGGATCCACTTTAAACCAACATTATTTCATCTATAATTACTACCTCAGAAATACCATACTAACTGCCATTTATCACTGTCAGTGACTTTTGAATTCCTGCTACAATCATGGTATCCCATTGGGTTTGTTTGTCTCCAAGAGAACATGATGTTTCTAGTTTGGCATGGCCCTAAAAAAAAGAACAAAACCTGTCATCCTCTAGAAATATATTTAAATGTCCTCTATGCGCTTCAGTAGAGAGGAAGCCCATTCATTTCCTTGTAGTTATTTCCAACACAATGCACTATATTTTCCATCTGAAGTCTGTAGAAGGTCTTCAGTTCATTAGTGCTTCCCTTGACCCTTTCTTTCTTTCTTTTCTTATGAGCTGAGTACCCATTATCCATCACATTTCTCACAAACCTTAGAAAAGAATATAGATGCTCCACTTCAGTCAAATAACCCCACATTATGAGAATCTAATCCTTCACTAGGGCACAATTAGGAAGTAAATGTGCTCAAGAACATTAATTTGCAATTGGTTCAGTACAAGCATTAGGGAAACTATTAGTGGTGTGTCCTAATCCAGTGATCTTTTTAGACAAGAAAAAACTAGACTGATTCAGGTAATGACTGTAGCAATATTTTGATGTCTTTTAGTTCAATAAGTCTGTTGCTGTACAGTGGAAGACTTTAGAAGCAAGGAAAAAAAACCAGGTAACTGGTTACTGGTAGGAGGCTTTGTTTCACCTTACTTTGTGAAGGTCCTCCTGCTATTGTTCATCAAAAGTTGTAAATAAAACCTTCAGGCTTCCTTTTAGCAGGCCCCCATTTATCTGTGTATTTTGTATATAACTGTTACCTTGTGCTAGGATTCTGAGAAAATAAAAGCAAAACACTTCGCAGTTGGTAATTCAAATTCAGCAATTAAATAATCCGTGTGTTAGTGACAGCTATAAAACTTACCAGTTCTAGAGCTGTGCTGGAAATACCCTCATTCTCAATGGTCAGTAGCAACTGTCTCTTTTAAACAGAAGGTATATAAAATAAAATTCTCTTGGAAATACCTCTTCTTATAAAGCATCTTGTTATTTAATTTGGTCTCAGCTAATTGGCAATTTAGACAGTAATTTATGTCCAAGCATTCCAGACGCAGCAGAGAACAGGAGCCTACGCAGAGCTCTCCCAGGTCCCTGGGGCACAGCCCCGATGTCACATGTGCTGTCTGCTCCCTCCCTTACAGACGGCATACATCAGCTCACTCACCATGTGTTGACCCTTACTACCAGGAAAGACCAGGAGGACTGTTTGTAGGTACTGAGCATGTTGGAGATAGCAGACTCACTGACTACCACCACAAGTGCAAGACTGTCATTTTGATTTCTAGCATACATGCAGAGCACTCCCAACTCTGCACGTGGGAGCAGTAACACCTGAGCCCTTCAAATGCTGAAACAATTATCCTAGCACCTCAACCAGCACAGTGACCTGTGGTGAGTTCCTCTAATATGTATTATCAGTAACACTGCAGGGAAATGCTCACGTTTTGTCAGATTAAACAGACAATAGGAATTGTAGAGAGATTTTGTTTCTGTTGCCTGAGTAGTCCGTATTTATCTCCAGGCAACAGGAGAGAAGGAAAGTACAGAGAGCTTGCACTGCCATCTGACTGTTTTAACTCTTCAGACCTCATCTTGGCGTGGCATGCAATGTGTAATGAAATTATTTTCTTTAAGCCGGAATGAGTTCTGATATACTCAGTCATGCCCTCACTTTCAGAAAACACAAATGACATTTTTCAGACAGTGAAGAAGAGCTCCTACCTTCTCAACCAAGGGATCTCCAATAGAAAATGAGTTGATTTTCTGTCTTTACAAGCCAGCAAAATGTACAAGCAGAATTTCATGCATGTACCTGATAGTCCACCGACATCCATCTTCTTCAGGTTCTTTGCCTCCAGAATGACGACAGTCAGTTTGCCAGCAGTAGGCACATAACGGAGGGAGAAGCAGATATCACCCAGTTTCTCTTGCTGTGAAAGCAAACAGGACATGGCATTATATTTTATTAATTTTTTGGTACCTTCTAAAGATGTAATTTTGAAAGCCCCGCAGAAAATCAACAGGACTACATCTAAAACTCCTACTGTCAAACAAAACATTCAAATGAACAATGTAAGATATCTGCCACAAGTTGCCCAGCTTAAATCCATTATAACTTCAAGTCTGGTGCAGCAACTGGAGCCCACAGCAACTATCCTGTGTGGAGCCAAACGGCAAGATATGTACAGGCTGTAAAATAAGTTATACTGTTCAGCATTTCACCTCTTCCAATCAGGGTCCCACAAATACTGTTTGTCCTTTAAACCAAGTCACGACTGGATTTTTTTTCAGGTTGTACTTCAGCTGAAATCAATTAACACATTTGCATACACAACTACTAGACTGTTTTCCATTAAACAGTAACATGGGTCTTTCTCACCACATTTTGTCACAAAATCAAAAAGTATAAAAACCACAAAGCACAAACCACTCAGTATATAAAAAAAAGACTTGTGTCCTATGTGACAGGCAAAACAAAAAAAAGGCAGATATAGACCACGAGAGCACACAATGCATCCCTCCTCACATCCAGAATGGTTGGAAGGATTTGGTTTTTCCTTCAGTTTTGCATATTATCATCTGAGATCCTGCCAAATGCAACCTTTTGCTATTCATTGCTTAGTACCTTCCTAGCAGTCCTGGCAAATAGGGAAAGGCTGAATTATGTTCAGAATCACAGGAACTTTGTTTCAAAAGGAGGAATAATAGATTTGAACTTGCAGATACAGGAGAAAGAGAGAAAAAGAGGAGAACACTGCTTAGAAATGATCACTACGATGATCCAAGCTGCCTTCCTCCTTCCTTTAAGGCACAATGGCATCTCTAGGGGGATAACAAGGTTGCTTTCGAGACAAGAGAATCAGGTTACACTGAACAGCCCAATAAGGCATTGCAGACAGCAATGTTTCTTTTTCAAAGACAGTAGTTCTTATGGCATATGTCTGTTTCCACAATTTATTCTGTCAGTAAAGTACAAAGTACATTTCTATGAAGATCTATCTCTCCGGTTCTAGTGTTTTGTTAGAATAAATTGGAAGGTTGGTTGTTGAAAAGTTTTGGGAGTGTATCCAAGCTTTTTGTTAAGACAGTAGGCAATTTTTCGCAGGAATTACACGTTATCTATTTTCCCCATACTACAAATGCAGAAAGAATGTGGCAATTTAACAGGTTCAAAGACCCAAGGGGGAAGAGGCAAAGTCAGAACCTTACCTAAAAAGCTGGGAGAACACTACTGAGAGTAACTGGCTCACATATTCATGGATGTAGTGGGTATTTCCTAGAGAAAAGGCAATCCGTCTCTTAAGGGCTTTACTATCCATGTTAAAGGAATCAAAATGTTCCTTTCCAACTGGGAGCTCAAGCTTCCAAGTCATTTAAGAGAAACTGAACTTAATCCACTAAGCCAAATTTTCAGCATCAGTGGCAGTTCTGCTCTCAATAGCTCTTACACACAACCACTTTTATCCAGGTTTAGATACGCATCTGCAGTATATCCATCTGAAGGATGTGTGCCAGATGCTCAGCTACAACTCAAAGTTTACATCTTCTTCCTTATCAAAAGGTGTGTTGGCTTCTGTCAGAACTTCCTTGGGGATGCAGGATACTTTGTTGTTCCCAACAATGGACTGGAGTGATATATTAATATCACACATATATCAAGAATGGCATTGTGCAGTTATAGTTCCTACTAATTTTAGAGAACTTAGAGGATGCAATAATAATGCAATACTTATAAAGTGACAGACTCTGAATTGATTATTACAAGTTGGGAATGAGACCCACGTGTTGTGATAGATAGTTCCCTGCAAAACATGAACTCAGTGATCACCAGTCATCAGAAAACATACAGAATAAACACAATTATATATACTTAGGAAATACTCAGAGAGAATACAGCAAAATAGCTCACGATGTTAATTGTGTGTATCTCGTATAAAAATGCTGTCAGAACGCACACATGCCAGCATCTTGAAAACTGGTGCAGTTATGGTGTCCTCCCTGCCTCAAAAAGGATATGATGGAATTGGGAAAGATTCCAGGAAAAGCAGCAGGAACAATCAGAAATATGACACAACTTCTGCAGAAGGAACAGCTAAGTAGATTAGGACTCTTCAGGCTGGAAAGGGGCTGGCTGGGGAGCAGTATCTTAGAGACCTCTATCTGACCCAGGAGGGCTATAATTATATGAACTTGCTCAAAAGAAGATATCTTAGTATCAGAAAATCTACATTTTTAACTCATATCTAGAGTAACTTAAGATGTCTTTCACAGCATGGACTGCACTTCTATGGAAGGACTTACTATTTCTGCATACGCTGCTGTAAATCCCAGCACAGATTCAGATCATGGAAATGTGGATTTCAGCTGTGCAATCTGCATAGCTCATGCTTGGCTCTAACTGAGCCTGCAATGGCATAGTGACAGCAAAACACACTCCTGGTCCCCCTGACATGTGGTTTTGGAAGTCCGTATTGGCTAGGCTAATGGTGAAGTTGATCTATCACTTGTAGCTTGTTCAGAATGGAAAAAATCAATTGCTTATTGATTTGTGTTACCATGATCACAGCTCACCCAGCTGCCCAGTCTTCTCAGCAGTCGCTGTTCTATTACATGGTAGACTTGGTTTAAATTAGCCTGATTGATTCACGTGGCTGCGAGTGAGACCAAAACAGGGTATACTCGAATACTCATTTTAGTCCCCCATCTTGGAGAGCTCTGCACTTGCATATCACCCCACATCCAAGGGCTCTGCCCTCACCTCTAGATTCGCTAAGTTGAGCTTTGGTTGTAGCAGCACGGGAACTTGGATTCCCTGCTGTATTTCTCAGAAATGTACCTCATTGACAGACTATGTAAACATCTATTTTGGAAGGTACTTTTGAATCAATACCATGCTTCTAATCGTTCCTTTGATTGGGGTTTGGTTGGTTGGTTGGGTTTTTTTTTGTACTTGTGTTGAGACTACAGCATGTTTAGCAAGCATAAAATGGTGTTAGGATTGTTGTTTCTGATCTGAGCACTTCAGCAGAGGCTGGAGGAGGTACTTTACAAACACAGTTATTGCTACAGAGACCATCATGTCTCACCAGCCTTTCTCCATCTGCAATCATGTTATGCTTCTGTGCAAATACACCACAATTGTCTACACAGAAGAGTAATTTTATGAGAGCATTTAATGCATTTTTAGCCTCTTTTAATGTAATTTTAGCTGCAGGAAGCATGGAGAAGAAGCCAGCACCATGTAAACAGCCAGTTTTCCATAGATCACCAGGAAGCCATGGGAAGTGGCAGCAGATGATGATCTCATTCCAGTGAATAACTTGGAAAAAAAAAGCATTGGTACCTCTTTAGAGAATCATGTTTAGTACCTTTTGTGGTTATTGCAATCCATATTAACTGCATTTCTTCAATATTTCTTGTATTTTTAACATCTTCTCTTTGCATGACTGCCACAAGTTTTCTATTCCTAAGCTGGTTTGTATTTTTTATTTTTAATTTCAAAAATATTTGTCAGGCAAAATACTGCAAGTGGCAGCACTGCAATGAAGCAACAAAAAGCAATCACTAGAGGTGTGGTTTGCAGGAGATAATTACAAACCCCTGCAGGGCTATGAGGTACAGATGAGTGCTTCTGGTATGGTGATTATCTCATGGAGGTGCCTTATTGTTATTATGAATTTCTTTCAGCCCCATGTATAAATAATTTATGTTAGTAAATTACTTTGATCTCTGATGGAAACTGTAAGTTAGTGTTAGAAACTTCCAGCTGGGATGTTCACAGATATTAACCTATTCATGTATAATGCCTAAACACCAATCAAAAGACTCTCTCCATCTAAGCAACTTCATAACTTCATTACATTTAAAGAGGATGCAGTGGAGCAGAACATAAATGACATAGACAGCACCGCTAACACTTCTTCAGCTTAGAAAAGGCTATTTGAAGTCCTATTGAGAACCTCACTTTTTAGAGATGACTCTAAGTGGCTCCTGCCTGTCTCATGTTTCTTCTTGTGTTTGTCAGTAGTCACTTTTGCCTTGACAGTACACTCTCCTAATGAGCTACAGAGAAAAATGCTATTTATGCAGATTACTCTCATTTGCTCCACAGAATCTCTAACAGCGATATCTATCTTCTTAATATAAACATTCTCCACAATTCTGTGGAAGATATTACAAGGAAGTTGATGCTTGCAGCTCTCCTGGTAAAACAATACCAAAATAATGAGCTACAGCACTATGTGCTTTTTCCTAATTGGATCTAAGACTCCAAAACAGTCAGTAGAGGAAGGATATAAACACAGTGAGATGGGTCTCCAACTACAATACCTGGTTTTGATAGTGCATATTTGCATAAACTAGAGAGAAACACAATAGGATGTCGTTTGTAGGTGAAGACCCAACTTAAAATCTTCCACAAATAATTTTCAGTAGAAGCTCATAATATTCACTGTATAGTTTTTGCACCAACCAAAATGTTTTAAAACTCTGTGGAGAAAAGAGGAACAGCACAAAGGTGGCTTATAAGCTAAATTAGTCTTTCAAATTCAGGGAACCTGAGTAAACTGCAATTGTAGGATCTCTAATGCTAATTCCCACATCCACAGGCCTCAGACAGTTGTGTAGGCCATTGTATTTTCTACACATGGAAATCTCAAATCCAACAAATTCCTTTTCTTGGCACGTAAATCATGAATAAGCCATAAAGGTCACACCATAATACTAGCAACACAATCACACGAGTGCAGAAATGGATGACATGGTCTGGCCACAACTTCAATTAAACCACCACGGCAAGCAGGCAGGACTAGCAACCCATACACACAGCTGGGACCTACAGTTGGGAAAATAATTCTCCTTCACATCCCCCAGGACAAATAGGGATCATACTGGGAAAAGGAAATACTGTTTGTTGGGATCTCCCTTTTTC